TTCACCCTAGTCTCGGGTACAAATGGAACTGGAAGTTATAGACAGTACCAATATACACCGTTTAGGGAACCTCACTTGACTTGCAAATTACTTTGAGGGTGGTTTAGAGGGGACACAAAATCTCAACAGAAAAAATTTGGAATTTCATCATTTTAGATACCTTATGCATCTGGTATTGACCATTCAGGTACTTCTTTGTTACTTTCTTGGGTATCCTTGAATAAGTGTCAGTGTTAGAACAAAATATAAAAAAAATACCTAGGTAAATAATGAAAATGACGTTATGACGCAAGGATATTGTTATGTTTCTATTGGTTCAATTTCAATTTCATACGTCAATTTGAAAAAAAAGACAGAGGTTTCTGTAGGTACATAGAAAGTTACCATAAGCTGTTGATAGAGGGAAGCACTTTCAAGGAAACGTTCAAAAAATATAAATGGAGCACAGATTTCAAACCAATTTTTTATTTTCTACTGTAGTAGTAAAAAAAAATCTATATATATTCCTCGGTAGAGAAAGTCATTATATACCTAACGCATTATAAACACTGGGTGTATAATGACCAAATTCTCTACCTAGGTATATAATATACTATACTATTATAGACAAAATGCTGAAATTTTCAGCAATTTTTATCCCAGTAAAGGACTACAAGCCCTGAAAATTTCAGCTCCATTTGACTTATAGTTTCAGAAATACAATCGCGTTAAGCAATCTAAGGTAAGTTTATCAATTTTTCAATACTCTGAGACTGATGTGAACTTGACAGTTAGCAGCCAAACTGCCGAACATTGCCGATTGATCAGTGACGACAGTTTTTTTTTTTTTGGTCCTCCATGCACAAATGGTACTGGAACGTATAGGCAGTACCAATATACACCGTTTAGGGTACCTAAAAAGACTTTGAGAGTGGTTTAAGGGGGTAAAACTAATAATTGCGATTCATTGAAGAGGGTTTTTGTGAAAATATGGACATTTTCACCCTAGACTCGACCACAAATCGTACAGGATATTATAGGCAGTACCGATATACACCGTTTGGGGTACCTAACAAGACTTGCAAATTACTTTGAGGGGGTTTAAGGGCGTAAAACTAATAATTGCAAATAATCAAAAAAATAGTTTTTGTGAAACTATGGACATTTTCACCGTAGTCTCGGGCAAAAACAGTGCTGGAAATTATAGGCAGTACCAAAATACATCGTTTAGAGAACCTCACTTGACTTGCATATTACTGTGGAGGTGATTTAAGGGAGTAAAACTAATAATAGACCTCTTGCACTCAATCAAAATTAGGTATATAATTTATCTGTAACAAAAGTGTATTTTATGTACTACATGAAAATATGGTCGGTTAATTTTTTTTATCCCATTTTGACGTTTAAAAATGACATTATTGAACGCATAATAACAAAGGTAAGTAGACGTGACTTAAAATATTTTTAACTCACTCTCGGTCTTTTAAGTCACTCTGCCAGTATAAAAATCTGCTACAAATACAAACAAACAACTAGTTATACCTTAGCAACCACCAATTTCAATAATAAGCGCTTTCATAACTACTAAATGAATTCTGTTTATAATTTGATTCCTATTAAGAACCTTATTTTTTGAATGTCCATCAAAATGGGATAAAATTTTGTATAAATCACGTGAGTTAAAATGTTTATTCATTCGAAGAAAATTAACCCACTCGCTAGAGCTCGTGGATTAAACTTTCTTCTCATGAATAAACATTCATTTAACTCACTTGGTGTATAAATAACTATTAAAATCTTGAAGCCAGAAATTGAAAGAAAAAAAAAGCAGAATATTTGATTTTTGCGCCATATTTTTGCACCAATCAAAAATCACTTATTGTCAAATTTCTATGTCCCAAACGAATCTTTTTTTTTTTTCTCTTTTAACAGACCTAACAAAAAAGGAGGCATATATATATAATATATCAAAATCGCTTTGTGTATCGACTTTGGTACAGCCCTACTTTTATAGTCTAGGAAAATAGTCGAAAAATACATGTATTGCAAAAAAAAAAATCCTACCCAAATGAACTTTTCAGGGATGATAGGGGGCGGGTGGGTGATCATAAAACCGAAAATATCAAACATTCACCCCTCTGGCGTTTTGCGCTATAGGGGCTGAAAGTGCGCCATTGGCGATTACTTGGTACCTATTGATTTTACAAAAAAATGTTTCAAATAAAAGATGTGCACTTACTTATGCAATTACTCACCCCCTGCCGTTTCTCAATAGGGATAGTTGAAAGTTTTTTTCATTTTTTTACAAAAAAAAATTCTCAATAAAAGTTTTATAAGATGACATTTTCTACAATTTTTCCTAATCAACTTTTTTTGTAACTCACCGCCATTCAGCGGGGGGACACTTCCCTCGGGAAAATTTTAGTTTTTAGGGGTATATATAATTTTTTTTTCTTTCCTCGCCTTTAGTGCATATAAAAAGTTGCAATTAACATTGTATTAAAAGGATTTTTTTTTTCACCACCTTTTTGTTTTTAGGGTTAGTTCGCCTATTTTCAACTTTACAAAAAAACATTATTAAGAAAACTTGTTCATTTTATTATTTTGAGCCACTTTTCTCTATAACTTTTTTTTGTAAAGTTGAAAATAGGCGAACTACCCCTAAAAACAAAAAGGTGGTGGAAAAAAAATCCTTTTAATACAATGTTAATTGCACCTTTTTATATGCACTAAAGGCGAGAAAAGAAAAAAAAAATTAATATATACCCCTAAAAACTAAAACTTCCCCGAGGGAAGTGTCTCCCCTCTGACTGGGGGTGAGTTACAAAAAAAGTTGATTAGGAAAAATTGTAGAAAATGTCATCTTATAAAACTTTTATTAAGAATTTTTTTTTTTAAATAATAAAAAAACTTCAAACTACCCCTATTCAAAAACGGCAGGGGGTGAGTAAAAACTTCATAAAGCAAAAATGTTGTATGAGTTGTAGAAAATTTTTTCACGTTGGTTAAAATTTTTCATTTTCATTATAAAATTTCAAACGGCCCTTATGACCACAGACGGCCCTTAATCAAAAAAGTCTTCAGATAAACATTGTAGATCAAATAATGTTGCACATCTTTTATTTGAAACATTTTTTTGTAAAATCAATAGGTACCAAGTAATCGCCAATGGCGCACTTTCAACCCCTATAGCGCAAAACGCCAGAGGGGTGAATGTTTGATATTTTCGGTTTTATGATCACCCACCCTTCCCCTATCATCCCTGAAAAGTTCTTTTGGGTAGGATTTTTTTTTTTGAAAATCGACAATTTTCCTAGACTATTGACTGATTGACATCTATTGAAGTATCGACTGGTATCAACAATTTTCTTTCCTTGTCTAAATACGAATAAGACAAAGAAATCGGTATCTGTACTCATCCGGCACAGTATAAAGTACGAAAACGATAAAAGGGATTTTTGTTTATTATTAGGTCAGTGACCCCTGGCCAATTTACCTATCTCGGCTTTCACAAACCCTTTCTTCCCATATTCTATCACAAACAAAATAAACAATAATTAACAACAAAAAACAGCAGGCTGGGGCAGTGTTATTTGAAGAAAAAAGAAAAAGGATGTTTTTACCTGTGAAAATGTGAAAAGTTAAGTCTTTACTTTAGTTTAGTTTTTACTTTACTATTTTCCATAAACCACTTAAAAGAAAAATAACAATAATTTTATTAGTTAGGTAATTTTTGTTTATTTTGTTTGTGATAAAGGATAGAGAAGGGTTTGTAAAAGCCGATCCCGGAAAATGGCCAGAGGTGAGCATAGATATGCTTTCGGAAAAAAATTCACATGAAGGGTATAGGTAGGTAGGTAGGTAGGTATTAGTAAAATGCAGGTAGAGCTATATGGTAGATCAACCTTCCCCAAACAATAATTCCTTTATATGCTTATTGGGTAGAAACTTCCGATTCATCGGAAAAGGTTTTTTTTGTGAAAATATAGACATTTCCACCCTAGTCTCGGGTACAAATGGAACTGGAAGTTATAGACAGTACCAATATACACCGTTTAGGGAACCTCACTTGACTTGCAAATTACTTTGAGGGTGGTTTAGAGGGGACACAAAATCTCAACAGAAAAAATTTGGAATTTCATCATTTTAGATACCTTATGCATCTGGTATTGACCATTCAGGTACTTCTTTGTTACTTTCTTGGGTATCCTTGAATAAGTGTCAGTGTTAGAACAAAATATAAAACTTTTTGTTTAACCAACACTTGGTATTACTATAGTCCTAGATATTTTGTTCTTGGTATGTTATTACACTATAAATATATCCTTCAATCTCCACTTCATGTCTAATTCCGATTTGTACAACCGTCCTCCCACACTATCTATACAATTTCCCAGCTTCAATTTCCAAACAGGGCGGGTAACTAATTCGCTCGTTGTTTAACATGTCTGATATTTGGATATTTCCCAAGTTGCTTTTGTAGCGTATTCGTGATCTTGTTACATGTATGCGCAACATTATAACGAGTTAAAATATCAATGCATTAGCAAACTATGACCAAATCAATCATGTTTCAATAGAATAAACAATATTCTCGAGGCATTATATAGCAATGATTATTATTATTTAAAAGTATGAACATAACATATACACGCAATCAGCGGACGTGTATGTCAGTGCAATATGCAAAAAATTAGTTTCGCATTCAGCTGTCGGCGATTATTGTTCAAATTTGCGCCGACCAATATTCCAATATTAAAACACCACCAGGCTTATAAATAAATAAATACAGAGTCCATTTATGGAAGCTGTTTAATAAACTGATAATGAAAGGGCTATAGATATTTTGATGAAAATTTATAATGTAAACTAATTAATGTAGTAAATTTCAAGATGATGGCGATTTTGATAAGGTTATTTGAGTATTACTTATAATGTGACATATGGGTAGCAATAAACAATGTCGACTTGATAAGGTTAAACATTCATTAATTTATTTGATAAAGAAAATGTCAACCCACCTAGTCTCCATACCACCGAGACAACTGACAGGAGTTCCGACTCCCCTTCCTCCTGCAAAGCTCCCGGTCAGTCTAATGTTCAACGAGTACTGTCCTTGACCGAAATAAAAGTACTGCTGGCGCAACGGACACGACCTTGGCGGAACTACAGTCGTCGGTAGACAAACCAGCTGACTTCCTACACCCCAAACATAAACGATATTCCTGGGTGCCAGCTGATGATGATGCTGGAAATTCCTCGAGGAATACTTGTTCGCTCCTAGACAAGGAATCTGAAAGCACGGTGGGGGTAGAACACTGACACTGACACTAGCAGTTTTGAGACCGGCAATGGTACCGTACACGAGTACCGGCAAATTGGAGGTGTGGGCTCTTAAGGTCACTTCGGACGGACGAATTATCGTTGTGGTAGTATTGCAAAAAACTCGTCCAGTTGGTAATTGTAGGGGAGACGTTAACATGACCGCAGGACCCGCCAGCACTGATGATGGCAACGACGTTCTCGCGACGTCGGAGAGGAGCAAGGGGAAATGTTCCACCGCCTCGTAGTGTCGGTGGGGCCCAGCGATGTTGTCAATTTTCATTTTGGTTTTTTGCGTAAGAAAAAAAAGGGACATTTTGATTGTATATTGTTATAACGAATGCAACAACTACGCGAAACAAAATCACTTGCAATAATGACTGTTAAAAAATAAAAGAGAGACCACCGCGCCAAGAAATACTTTTGTGTAATAACCAGATTGCGAGAGACACGGCAGACCAGCACGACGAAAGTGAAACTTTTATTTTATTAATATTTATGTCGCACAGAGAGAGAACTTGCATATGCTCGAAATTATAACTATTTCAATTTAATAGATTACGTAAATGATATGGAGCCGCACCGCTGGACGCCTCACGGAACATAAATTCAATCCAAAACACTAATACAAATAATGTTTAATTTTGCTAATAATTTACTTTTTTCTAACAATGGCAACAGTGCAAGGACCGCCTGCGCCTTTTCGTTCAATGCCATCAGGGGGTAGATTCACAAGGGGTGCGAAAATAGCGACGTTGCTACATTGTCAGCTACAATGAATGTTTTGACGAAAACGGCAACGTTGAACAAGGGGATGAAATGAGTTTGGACATAATAATATTGGATTGTTCTTGAGTTTTCCAAGTCAAAGTCCCTTTCACATAACTGAAAACATCTGTCCAATAATTATTATTTAAAGGTTTTTTTAACCAACGATTTATTAGCGTCACTTAATGGAATAATTAATCTTTATACGAAAAGAAACGGGTTATATAAAATGTTTAAATAAATATTAAAATTAAACGGACAATTACATCGTTCAACATAAACGTTTATGAGGCACCTGCCAATATCACCATTGATGTTCCAATTTATTGTCGCAGGCATGTGAGAATTCGCAGCCAAAGTCTGATTCTCAGACAAGAAATGTGAACTTTCAAGCCTCAAGAAAAAACTGGTAAAAACTGCGATGAATAAAAAAAGTATATCGGAAGTTAGGGAAGGGAACAATTAGGAGTGGCCAAAGAACTAAAATTGGAACAGCAACAAATTGAATTGATCTAAAATTATTAGAAATGTTGAAGGAAGCCGAGTTTGAGCCAAGGGGCAAACCACCTAGAAATTCTTTGCCAAAAATGTGTGGAATTTAGAGGAATTTGTGTGGAATTTGAAGGAGCTTATCGGAATTTAAGAGAATTCGGGGAATTTATAGGTAATTTGGAGAAATTTATGGGAAATTTGAAGGAATTTATGAAGAATTCAAAGGAAATTTTAGGGTCATGACGTCACTGAGGTTCACATTCTTATTATAAGAAACACTTATTAAAGGAAATTTTAAAAAAAAAATCTTGTTTTGTATTGGGCGTTGAACATTCATTTTTGTTAAAGAAATTCTCCCAGAATGTCACTTCATGATTTACAGGTCCAAATTCAAAAAAATAATGAGTACAGTTTTTCTTGGCTGATTTCCAAGATTCTTCATGTTGTTATTTTCCACTGAAAAAAATTGAAATTTTCGGAAAAATGAGCTTCTAACCTTCCTCTTCACATGCAAAGAGCTTTAAAATTTTCCCTTCACTAGTTTTCCAGCACAACTTTGAAATGTGTGAGACGGTATTATCAACTGATTCATTTTTTGACAGGTTAATTTCCAAGAATCTTCATGTTGTTATTTTCCACTGGAAAAATTTGAAATTTTTGGGAAAAAGAGCTTCTCACCTTCCTCTTTACATTCAAAAAGTTTCAAAATTTTCCCTTCGCTAGTTTTCTAGGAAAACTTTGAAATGTGTGAGACTGTATTTTCAATTTTTCAGTTATTGTAGGTTGATTTCGAAGATTCTTCATAGTGTTATTTTCGACTGGAAAAATTTGAAATTTTGAGAAAATGAGCTTCTCACACTCTTCACAATACTTGTACAAAATGGCTCACAATACACTAAGAGAACAATACAGTAACGTTAAAGTACCCAACAATACCTTACAGTGCACATAGATTACGTGCTAATACCTCACAGTACGCTCAAATTACATAGCAGTTCTACGCAGTACACGTCGCAATACTTCCCAGTACACATCGCAATACCTGACAGTACACTTTTTACCAATAAAACTAGGCGTCGCAGAGCTAACGCCATCTGGTTTCACAAGGTTCTGATTCTGTCATTTGTAATTGAGATGTCGGTCGATTTTTGTTACTTTTGACTACTCGTAACTTTGTAATAAAATAATCGATTCACATACTCGTTACTTCGTTATTTTGATGCTGTGTTATCAAAATGTAAAAATATTTAAAGTAACAAAGAAACGAAATAGTTCTTGGTTCGGTACTCGATACTTCGGGTATTGGGAACTAACGAGTACAGAGTAATGGGTAGATATCAGAGACATCAAAAAATAATGTTTTTTTTATAGATTTGTACAATTAACCATTTCAGATGTCCAGATACACAGAAGAAATCTCGATATTGATAAAAAGTACAAGGAGTTTTCAAGAGAGCCAACCAGTAACCATGAGTAAATTATTGAGGCTGAATTGAGCGTTGAACGTAGTTGTTTATTATTTGAAAACCCAAAACTCTCTTATTATTCCTTTTTATCCTGTATGGACATCAAACATAGAAACGTTCAATTAATAAAAAAGCAGCTCATACCAAAATGTATTACATGATAAAAACTCGACTAAAAATTTTTCACACTTCAAGACAATAAGTAACTTAAAAATAGTGAAAATACCGTGATATCACATGCAGTTCTACGCAAATACCTTACAGTACCAGACCTTATACTGACAGCACCTGACAGACCCTTACAGTAGTGGAGCTTACACTGACAGTAGCTTGCAGTACCAGGCATTTCACTGACAGAACCATACTTTTCACAATAAGTGTACATAAATTTAGTCAGTGGAACACCCCAGGCTTCTCACCTTCCGCTCTACATGCAAAAAGTTTCAAAATTTTCCCTTAATTAGATTTCCAGGAAAACTTTGAAATGTGTGAGACTATATTTTCAATTAATTCAGTTTTTGTAGGTTGTTTTCCAAGATTCTTCATGTTGTTATTTGCCGCTGGAAAAATTTGAAATTTTGGGAAAATGAGTTTCTAACCTTCCTCTCCACATGCAAAAAAATTTTAAATTTTTCCGTTCACAATTTTTCAAGGAAAACTTGGAAATGTGTGAGACGGTATTTTCAACTAATTCAGTTTTTGTAGGTTGATTTCCAAGATTCTTTATGTTGGTATTTTCCACTGGAAAAATTTGAATTTTTGGGAAAATGAGCTTCTCACCTTCCTCTTTACATGCAAAAAGTTTTAAATTTCTCCTTTCACTGGCTTTCCAGGAAAACTTTGAAATGTGTGAGACTGTATTTTCAAATAATTCAGTTTTTGTAAGTTGATTTCCAAGATTTTTCATGATGTTATTTTCCGCTGGAAAAATTTGAAATTTTGGGAAAATGAGCTTCTAATCTTCCTCTTTACGTAGGAAAAGTTTCAAAATTTTTCCTTAATTAGTTTTCTAGGAAAACTTTGAATTGTGTGAGACTGTATTAAAAATTATTTCAGTTTTTGTAAGTTGATTTCCATGATTTTTCATGTTAATATTTTTCAATGGAAAAATTTGGAATTATGGGAAAATGAGCATCAAACCTTTCTCTTCACATGCAAAAAATTTCCCATTTTTCCCCGTATCTCTAGTTTTCCAGGAAAACTTTGAAACGTGTGAAACTGTATTTTCAATTAATTCAGTTTTTGTAGGTTGATTTCCAAAATTCTTCATGTTGTTATTTTCCGCTGGAAAAATTTAAAAATTTTTGGAAAATGAGCTTCTCACCTTCCTCTTTGCATGCAAAAAATTTCAGAATTTTCCCTCAATTAGTTTTCCAGGAAAACTTTGGCTTGTGTGAGACTGTAGGTATTAACAATTAATTCAGTTTTTGTAAGTTGATTTCCATGATTTTTCATGTTATTATTTTCCAATGGAAAAATTTAAAATTATGGGAAAATGAGCCTCGAACCTTTCTTTTCACATGCAAAATGTTAAAATTTTTCCCTTCATTCGTATTCCAGGAAAACTTTGAAATGTGTTAGACTGTATTTTCAATTAGTTCAGTTTTTGTAGGTTGATTTTCAAGATTCTTTATGTTGTTATTTTCCGCTAGAAAAGTTTGAAATTTTAGGAAAATGAGCTTCTCACCTTCCTCTTTACATGCAAAAAGTTCCATAATTTTTCCTCAATTAGTTTTTCAGGAAAACTTTGAATTGTGTGAGACTGTATTAAAAATTATTTCAGTTTTTGTGAGTTGATTTCCACTCGGATTTCCATGATTTTTCATGTAAATATTTTCCAATGGAAAAATTTGGAATTATGGGAAAATGAGCCTCGAGCCTTCCCCTTTACATGCAAAAAGTTTCAAGTTTCTCCTTTTACTGGTTTTCCAGGAAAACTTTGAAATGTGTGAGACTGTATTTTCGATTAATTCAGTTTTTGTAAGTTGATTTCCAAGATTTTTCATGTTGTTATTTTCCGCTGACAAAAATTGGAAATTTTGGAAAATGAGCTTCTAACCTTCCTCTTCACATGCACAAAGTTCCAAATTTTTCCGTTCACTAGTTTTCCAGGAAAACTTTGGAATGTGTGAGACGGTATTTTCAACTAATTCAGTTTTTGTAGGTTGATTTCCAAGATTCTTCATGTTGTTATTTTCCACTGGAAAAATTTTAGATTTTGGAAAAATGAGCTTCGCACCTTCCTCTTTACATGCAAAGTTTCAAAATTTTCTCTTCGCTAATTTTCTAGGAAATTTTTGAAATCTGTGAGACTATATTTTTAGTTATTGTAGGTTGATTTCCAAGATTTTTTATGTTGTTATTTTCTACTGGAAAAATTTAAAATTTTGGGAAAATCAGCTTTGAACCTTCCTCTTCATATGTAAAAAGTTTTAAATTTTTCCCTTCA